CAATTCAACCCAATGAACTAAATAAACACCCTCAAGTGTGCGTTAAATCCTCCAATCCCCAACCTTGCATCAGATATGCAGTCTACTGTAGTTGGTATCTGTAGTTGGTATCTTAAGCGATGTAGTTGGTATCTTAAGCGATGACTATGCGGGAAGACAAATTTGATACTCTTTTAGCAGGCAGTTGGTATCTTAAGCGAGGACTATGCGGGAAGACAAATTTGATACTCTTTTAGCAGGCATGATTTAAACGTTGTTTTTATTGTCAACTACCAAGAAATTAATCAAAGTCCAAATACAACTCCGGTGTAGTAAAACTTTAGAAACCTAAGGAAATTGTAACAGCAGACGTGCTTAAACGAAAAACCGGCTTAAAAACAGCAGAGGGTAAGCACAAATTTCGCAAATCATACAATATCCCTGATGGGGAGGTATTATACCAGGACAAATAAAACAGGATAACTTTAACACCAACTGTCCAATCAGCCAGCAGCTTTTACTTGGCCCAAGGGCAGTCGTATTGGGGCTGGCAGAAGAGCAAAATTGGTTGGTTTGGGTTATGTTGTGAGGAAAGGTGTAAGGAGCATAAATATTGGTGGAAGAGGTCGTTTGGAAAGGCCGGACTACAGAGTTCCATTACGTTGAAGCTTCTTCCTCTGGAGGAGATATCGCATTTGGATTGCGAATTTCATGTCCATCTCCGTAGGTGTCAGTTCTGAATCGTGGGAGCGTGGGGGGATCGTGGATGGAATACTAAGACGGAGGAAAAACAAACAAGCAAGAACGTTCCTTTATTGCTGACCTCGGCAGAATGAGAGAGGAGGATAGCACGGTTTTATTGCAAGGAGGACAACATTTCTAGCAAAAACTACATTAACTGCCATGGCTGGGACCGGTAAACGCATCAAGCGAGTTGTGAACTCATTTGGAGCAGTACCACCCATTAGTAAAACCCAGGAATTCAATGGAATACCTCATAACTCAAGAAGTGGTGAATCATGCCAGCATGCATGTTCGAAGTGAAAAAATTTATGAGGTTTTTATTTGCATGCATATTCTTGATCAGGGCAGTTAACGTACCTTGCTAAGACTGTCCATGCTGTAGGCTGATGGATACAGACCAGCATTCGATCCAAACGGTACTGGACGCTGAGAACAGGGCGGATAGAATGCGGCCGCAACAGAGCGACAGTTTACAAAATCGACTGCCCAGCAACAGGTGGAAGCGATGAAAAGCCAAGCGGCGATGAGGCTTGTGGCGACCGCAAACCAGGCCAAAATGTACCCAGCGCCAAACGTCAAGATCGTCGATTTCCGGGCAGCCTACAATTTCAAAAAACATCAGAGTGACATTATCCTGATGAGGGACCGTTGATTCCGACGACGACGACGACGACGGCCACCATGTCTACCACAGCAGGGTGGGAGCAGAAACAGTGATTCGCACGTGCAATTATTTAGAGGGATCCTGGACTCGTGTAGAGTTTCTAATCCTCTCCTACTTAGACTCGGTATTAGGACTAATCCCAGAAAACCGGAGACTGGAGAAGGTACAGATGGCTGACACGGAGGTAATCCACACGTAGGCTGGCATATTTAGACCGGAAAGGGACGGAAAACTTGGTAAGTAAGGGGATCAGTCTAGAGTAATTACGTGCATTTACGTGCATTCCTATTCAAGCCTAGTGTTCTACCTCGTTTATGAAGTCGTCAGTAGCACCATTTAGTCTTGTAGAGGCGTAAGGTCCGAAAACCCTCCTCATCAAAGTGGATCCGTATTGAACAGAAAACAGCCTCAAAGTGACTGCACGAAAGTGGACATTCCAAGCCTTCAGGCTGGCCAGCGGCAAATGGTTTTACTTACATGACTGTACTAGAGCTCGTCAGTTAGTCGATCCAAAAGATAATCCCTTACAGAGTAGTGATTGGTCAACCGTCGCTAACAACAATGTCCACTATGTGTCCCACAGCACGGTGAGAGCATAACGATGACTTGCGCGTGAATTGGTTCATAATCATAGCAGACTTGCGTAGCATCTACCACACTCCCTCTTCCTTCAACACACCTGAGTCCGGTGTCATAATAGAGTCCAAATGGCACGGTGACAGGACTGGGCGCAGTGCCTGACATAACACGTCTACGCGTGCCGCACGCGCCAGATCGGTGAACAGTGTATCACCCTATCAAATAAATAAGACTTACGTGCATCTTAGATTCCAGTTGATTGGGAAGCACGGCTGAATTTTTCACAATCTCCCAATTTTGGGGACGCTGACCGTTGGTCCAGTAGGGATTGGATGATGATATTGAACTGTAGAGGGGCCCTTGGAAGGCTGCCATGTCAGTTTATTAAGTAAAATGGCTTTTCACATTAACCATAGGAATAAACGCTTACTTACTAATTGTAAGAAGTGTTAATTTCCACAATCTTCCAACTTTTTCACTCGTTGGCCGTTATTCTAGCTGGGTTAAGTTATACTATTAAAAAATGTACCTCAGTGACCTCGCCCAAGGTCAACGAACACCCCTGACATACATGCGCTCGCCGTTGGTCTAGTAGGGGATTAGCGATGATATTAAAATGTACCTCAGTGTCCTCGCCCACCCGAGGTCAGCGCACATCCCCCAACTTACCCGCGTAACGTTTTTAATTTACTGATTATCGCGCACTGAATTGTTCTCCGATACGCCCCACCCATTCTACCCCCTAAACCCAGGTGCCCGTATTGGAGTGGAGCACGCTTCGCGCACACGGTGGGGACCCTACTATAGATTCTTACCGGAAGCACCATAGAGGCCACATTGGGGAGGAGCCCCCTCCCAGACATTTGTCTACCGCTCGTCCACAG